AAAATTTTTATTCCAAGTGGCATTAAAAAGTCTTAAAAAGTCTTAAATTTAACTTGCCTTATGCTGTAGGAACCCTGATAAAAACAGTTCTCAAAAACATACGTAAAAAAAAAAAAAAAAAAAAACTTTATGGCCCCAATTTAGCTCCGTACCACATTAAAGATGTAACCATAAAACAGCTAATATCATCTCCCCATAAACAGACAGTCTGGAGTGTTTCAGACCAGGACCTCCGCTCTAAAATCTGTTACTAGCTGTGATCACAGAACAGAACAGAACCAGAACCAGAACCAGAACCAGAACCAGGACAGACGTATTTAAGCTGTGAAAACTGATAGAAATCCTAGAACAGTAAAAACAAACGTCCATCTTTGCTGCTCTACAGAACGAGCGGTAATGAAAATGAAACTTGAAGCTGCTGGTCTCTGGTTGCGCGCTGAGTCAGCCGTCCGCTGAATGTGTCAGGATGACCCTCTGCATACCGCCCGCCGTGTGAACGCAGAGGGAACGGGTCCCTCGCTCACCACAGCCAAACATGTTAGGAGAAATTCATCGATCCGAAAAGCCGAGGAAACAAACTGATCCTCCCTGGAAGCGAAGGAAGAAACGGCCACATCAGCTGGGAACCATCCGTCCCCTCGGATGGCATCTTGTTGAAAAGCCTGGGTATAAAATGACGGCACCAGAATAACTCTGCACCAAGGCCGCGCTCTCGACTTTGATTTTCTGCTCCGTGCGAACGCTGCAGCCAGAAACCCGACCCGGGGATTGACTGTACCCTACCACTTTCAGACCTCCTCCACTGAGCCGCCATGTTTAAAGCCTAAACCAGGAGAGGACCACTGGCGAGCTGGAAAGGTCAAAGGGCAGGAGGGGGTCATGGGCTCAGTTTACTGAGGATCACATAAGCAGCCTTAGTGTCCATGAACAGAGGTCCTACAAACTACGCCGTCAGTCACTGCAGCGTTTCCTATTGAAACAGCTTTATGGGACGTCTGGTTCACTAGTGAACAGAAGAGGAAATAAGTGTAATAGTGCCAAACCGCCACTCTAACAGACAATACATTTAAACATCAGTCTTTTACCTACTTTATTTTTATTTTACAGTAATTACATATTCAGTGCTGAGAATGTCAAACATCTCCAGCTGCTGCATAACTTCCTTCTGATCTTTGGGGTCGTGCATGTACCGTCATGATTGGATACCTCCTCTGCCTGTTCCTGCTCGCCACGCGTCCATGCATAACACCCACAATTTAGGACTTCAATAAAAAACATTTTACTCTCCTCTAGGATTTCTTTAAAACTAAATAAATAAAGGAAATGCATATAATATGATTTAAAAACTGCCAAAGACTTGTTTGTCTTTAGGAGTCCAAGCCTATTTGGCTGGAAGTGTTTTGTATGGGGTAAGATTACTGTCAAAAATGTATTTCTTAATTTTTAAATGGTTTAAGATTTGTATTTGTTCCTTTTGTGTTTTTTTTGTGAGAATACAAGTTCAGAGGTTAAAAAATACAAGTTACAAAATACGAGCACGAACGTAAGATTTACCGGTACGGATCTACAAACCTGTATGAAGCTGTTATACTCCTTACCAGTTGGTGGCAGCATTGCGCTTGAGGATTGTTTGCAAACCCGCAGTAAATGAAAAGAATAAAAGGAAAACAGAACCACTGAACATTTTACTGCACATGCGTGTAAAACAATATTTCCACAAAAGTATAACACACAATCGAGTTTTGTTTTTATCTTCTTGATTTGTGCCCGTTGCGGAACTATAAGCTGCATTACTGCCCCCAGGTGGTAAGGAGTGTAACAGATCCAGAGGTTGAAGATTTGTGCTTGTAAATATCAGACTCGTATTCGTAAATTTCAGACCTGTACTCAAGATTTTACGTTTTATGTATTCACATAAGAGGAAACATCTGATGCAAAATGAAAAAAGGAATTAACAGGAAACAAATACAAATGTTACATTATTGACTTAGACGGCTACGCACATAAGTGTTAAAAGTATTAATGTTTATTACACCAGTAGAGGATAAATCCTGATGTTTAAAAACACTTTTGTAGAAGTTAGAGAATAAATTTCAGCTTTTTGCTCCAGTAAAAGTGTAAAAGTACCATTTTTAAAACAACTTAAAGTATAAAAATTAAAGTAATGCAGGAAAAACTGTTAAGGCCAG